TAAAATTCATGTAGAAAATCAATTGCAGTCCCTACATTTGGAGAAATGGGATTGATACTTCGTTCACAACAGTGCTGTTCCCACTTTTGTAAATAGTATTTGTACTGTTTTTGAGTCCCCGGTCTCCATGCTTGTACGATGATTGAAGCAGCTTCTTTTGAAATTCCTTGACTTTCAAGTAATCCCCCGATAAGTGGCACATCAGTAATCGCAACTTCTTTTGTAGAGGATGTATCTTCTGAGGATGGGATGGTAACATCAGTGTTGTTGTGTGCTAGGCAACATAAGGGGACAATTTATTAACATATTGGTTAGATATGGCCACCAGGACTGGGTCGGCCAGTGTGGAATTACTATTATGCCTGTTGCCTTCTCTTCTGATATTTTTTGTAATACTTGGTTGATAATGCAAAAAGGTGGGAATGCATAAAAACACATGTTTACCCAAGAGATATGAAAGGCATTTATGGCTTGAGCCTCAGGGTCAGGTCTGAATGCAACATAAGGCTTGCATTTATAGTTTAGCCTTGAGGCAAACAGATCAATACTGGGTGTCACATCCAGTAATTGGATTGCTTGATCATACACTGCTTGGTCTAGGGCCCACTTAGTATCATCGGTACCCCTCCTCGATTCAAAATCAGCTGCAATCACATTTTGTTTTCCTGGGATATGTGCTACAGTAATCCAATTGTTATTTGTAATGCAAAAATCCCATATCTCTTTTACTAAGAGATTTTTCTCCTTGGAGTGACTAGTCCCCATATGATTTATACAGCAGACTGCTGTTGTGTTGTCCGATAGGATTTTTACATACTTCTGACAAATCTGATCTACAAATGATTTTAGACTGAGTAATATGGCTTTAACTTCCAGCCATTTAATGTGTTTCTTGATTCTCCAGAGTCCCATGAGCCACCGGTAGGTGTGCCAGCTAGGGAGCAACCCCAACCCGTTTTTGAGGCATCTGTGGTCATGGTTGTGTCAGCTTGTCCGTGACTAACCACATTGTATGCACTTTCAATTGAGCTTACCTACCAGCTCAGCTCGTGCTTAGCCTCATCTGAAAGAGTCATGGTCTTATTAGAATTGCCTTTTCTTATTTTCAGGGCCACAGTTTTTCCATATCTAAGTGCCTATAATGTAATGGCCCAAACATTACTCCTGGGAAGCTAGCTGTTAACATGCCAATGACTCCAGCCACTTCCCGTATTGTAGGTTGAGGAGATTGTAGAAGCTTTTGACAAGCTTCCTTAATTTTTTGTGTTTTTTCTCCTGTAAGGCTGATAATCATTTTTATGGAGTCTAACAGAAAACCTAGGAATACAAGTTTCTGAGTAGGGTATAGGATTGATTTCTCAAGGTGTATAACAAGGCCCACTTGGTCAAGTAATGTAATAGTATCTTTCACATTTTTAACACACAGATTAAAGTTGGCACCTTGTAAATAAGAGTCATCTATGAATATTACAGATAGATGACCTATGCTTCTCAAGTTTGAGAAGACAGGTTTAAGGAGTTTTGTGAACTTCCTAGGGCAAATTGCCAATCCATTTTGGAAAACATGTATACTGATATAGTTTCCCTCGCCATTGAAATTTCGGGTGTTTTTGATGGTCTTTGTGAATCGGGACAGAGCAGTATGCGTCCTTAAGATCAATGGATGCCATAAAGCATCCCAGACGCATCATACGTATAGCAGTCCAGATTGTGTCCATTTTAAAATGTTGGTACGTAACAGATTGGTTTAAACATTTTAGGTTTAAAATCATGCGATGTGATCCATCCTTCTTAGGTCGAAGGAATATGGGTGAAATGTATTCATTAGGCTCATGTGTAGATTCTACAATGACACCTTTTTTCAACAAGTTTTGGATTTCAGAATCAATAAACTGTCCTTGTTGACATGAGTAATTTGGCTATACAGGTAAATTTAATTGTACTGGGTTCTGGTTAAACTCTATGCGTTGACCAGACACTGTCTCCAGAATTTCTGGATCAGATGTCAATTCTTTCCAAGCAAAATAAGAAGTACTAAGCTGGCCCGCCTTAAAATTGGCAACCTTGTGTTCAAAGTGTTTAATAAGCGATGGCACGAGAAACTCGTATTCGCTTACCTGTATTTGTGAAAGTTTTTTAATTGCTTCTGAGTCTATTTCTTCATTGGCCCGAAACGAGCTCGGTTCTGACCACGCCTGTTGTTGTTCTCCAGTCGTCTGTACGACTGGGCTCCTCGCCATAAAAAAGGAGGCTGTTTGTTGCCATAATTGCTCGTACTTGGCTTATAAATCCGGTGTTGACTCGGCGCGTGTGATGATGGATTTGTTGTATTTCCAATTTTGTTTGTTGCCCGAATACGGGTCAATTCTGTCTGGAGGTCGTCTCCAAACAGTAAGCTTGTCACAGGAACTTCTTGTGAGCATAGCTCAATATAATCCCTGTGAAGGTGAGGTCTAATGATTTCGCGCCTTCTTTGGGCTAGCTCATGGCTAGCATGACTAACCAGAGCAACAGCATCTGTGTTCATTCGCACTAGGTCATCAATTTTTAGACTTTTTGGGTCAGATTTTGCTTTCAACAGCATATCTGTAGCTTGCACTACAAGGTTAGTGACTGTGCCAAGCTGGGTTTGTACACGAAAGAGCTTGTGATCCTCGCCACGAACAGCCCTTGTTAATTTAGCCCATATTTCAGGGTTTACGCGTGGGCTCACAACTTTGTCGCAGTTCGCTGGTCGCGGGTATTTTTCGGCCTTTTCTTTTAGCTGGTCGTCACTTAATTTATGATTCCAGCGTTTGTTAGCAATCAGTGCGAGTTTATCTGAGACGGGGTCGCCCGTTCGCTCAGTTTCGTCAAGTGACTGCGCTATTTCGTCCAGCAAGGGATCGTCTACGTCCGCCATGTTGGCGGTTTGTTGTTCGTCCTCGTTCGAATTGTTCTCATCATTGCCATTGGCATTGTGATGTCGTCCCTGCTCCGCGTCTCCCAGCAATGCTTCACTGTCCGATTCGTTGTCTGATACAGACTCAGACAGTGAGCGAATTTTAGCTTTTTTGGCAGATACTGCCGTGTTTGTGCTTGGTTGATCAGAGACAAAGCTCTCATGTTTTCGTTTATTTAGCGATACGCCTAGTGCACAAATATTATCATTCATTTTGGATAACAATTCCATAAATCGTTCGTTCGTAGACAGGTCCTCGTCACTCTGATGTTGTTCTTCTTCTATAAGTAGTTCTTTCTCCATATCCGGAGTGTCTTCTGCCATTTTTATTCAGTTTTAAGCGGAAATTTTTTGTTGTTGACGTTCGCTCGAAGAATCCTTTGCAACTGCCGCTCGATCCTTCCCGCGCTATCTCACACGTGACTCCGTAGCGAACTAACCAATGACGAAGTAGAATCATCTGGTTACCTCCGCCAGGAGGTTATGTAATCATCTGGGTTTGTATGTGTGTGTGTGTGTGTGTGTGTGTGTGTGTGTGTGTGTATGTGTGTGTACGTGTGTGTGTATGTGTGTTTGTCTGTGAGCACGATAACTCAAGAAATACCAAACATATTCATACGAAATTTTTTGAATGCATTTCCCATCGGCTAAGGAAGAGTTGATTAAAATTTGGTTGAATTTGGTTAAAAATGGAACGAGAAATTAACAAAATTTTGTCTTGCTTTTCCCGGTCAATTAAAAAAACTTGCTGAATGCGTAATTAGGACGTGTATAATGTTTGCACGCAGTACTAAGACAATAATTTAAGTACTACTACTAAATTAAGTACTAAATTAATACCCAATTTAAGTAGTACTACTAAATTCTAACCAAATTGCAAATTTCAACACGTTATAATGCCGTTTCCTGACCATCAGATTTCTGTCAAACCTTCCCCCCAAAGTCCAGGAAATGGCATTTCAGAGACCCTAAATTAAAAAATTTTCCGAGGCGGCATGCCCTCGGACCCGCCTAGAGAAACCTCGCACCTGCGGCGCTCGGCTCGTGCCTTCGACACTCGTTTATCAAGCGTTACAATATAGGGGCGCATATTAGTTGAAAGCCCACAGGCCCCCCCCCCCAGAAAATTAGTACCCAGCACGCCACTGAATTCAATGATGTGTTTAGTCAACTTTCTAACCTAAGAAAACTCGCAACCTATTTTTTAACCATTGCTTTTATTCTGGCCGTGCAAGAAATTTCTGCTGGTAATGGATGGTGGTTTTTACCAGACAAATGTTCATATCCGTGGCCAAGCCAAGGAAATTTTACGGGTAATATTATTTGATATTAATATAAACACAATAAAGTGTCGGTTGTAAAACAAGGTCAGCATGCTAGTGCAAGTTGACAAGTTTCATTGACAAGCTTATCTACTCGTGTGTACGGTTGACAAGTTTTTCTTGACAAGTTTTGTTTTGTGTTACGTCAAGAACGTCTTTTGTTTATCAAAACCATAGAATTAGTATTTCTTGTATACTTGTCAAATTTTCCTTGGCGACCGCACGTCTCTGTGTTCTTTGAGGCAGTCCCTTGCGACAGTACTTACTAGCAGTCTAGCATACTAGAAATACATGCATGCATTAACCCCTCGCCAATATTTTCCAAACATTAAATTAACATGATGTATTCAGAAATGGCCAACACTGGCAACAACGCAGGCTCGCGCTCAAATGTTGCCATGACAATACGATATTCTTAAATTTTTAATATTCATATTTTTTGTACAAAACTGCAAAATAGTTGAAATATTCGTACTTTTAACTATACAACAATAAATTTCCGAAATATATACAGTAGACATATTATTTTGCATTTTGTGAGCTTTGATTTGATGTAAAATTTAACTTGAAACGCTTCGTAAAATGTTTTGAAATGTTCATTCAACTAAACTACATTTGACGATAAACTGTTTTTACTTTATAACTAGAGGGCACTCAGAGACTGCATACCTCCGCCCGTTACTCGGAAGTGAAACGCAACCTTGGAATTTCCTAAGAAATCCACTTTATAATTCTTAAGCATAAAAGATTTCAGGCCCCCGCGAATTGAAATCGAATTGCTAATAGAACATATTACTGTTGTTGTACTGTACAGTACTTGTAAAATAAAAACTTATTAAGTGTCATTAAATAAATGCATAAATTTTGCTTTATGCACTCGCGCGTGCAGTAATTTTCACAGTTGTGCTATTTTAAATTCCCAGGCAGCTAAAATCTTTTGTCTTTAAAACAATGTCGATTTCTTGGGAAATTCCGAGGTTGCGTTCTTTTTATACACCCTGTATTGAAGTAATCTAATGTTGTTAGAATTTGAATGGACTGGCACTTTGCTGAACGTAATAATGCGTAACTCCGCAAGCCTTGTTTTAGACATTGAATTTCGGTCGCGTGAAATGCAACTAAGACAATAGATAATGAAGGCCGAAGTTTAGTGAGGTTTATCATCTCATTATTGTCTTAGTACAGAGTGCATAAATTATACACGTCCTAATTACGCATTCAGTAATATTTTTTGTTAATTGACCGGGAAAAGCAAGACAAAATTTTGTTCATTTCTCGTTCAATTTTTAACCAAATTCAACCAAATTTTAATCAGTTCTTCCTTAGCCGATGGGAAATGCATTCAAAAAATTTCGTACGGATATGTTTGGTATTTCTTGAGTTATCGTGCTCACAGACAAACACACACACACACACACACACACACACATACATACACACATACACATACACACACACACACATACAAACCCAGATGATTACATAACCTCCTGGCGGAGGTAATAAAACATATTGTTAGGTAATTTCAGTTCAGTCTTCAAATAAATTTGTTCTCCTTTACATTTTAACAAATTTTCTCAAATTAAACGGTAATTTATGAAACTTAGAGCTTCGTTGAAAAGGGAAACAGTTCATGTTTTTGGGCAAAAATTTAAAGCAACAAAATTCGTAATGATTAAATATTCAAAGCAAACTTGCCGTATATTTCACGATTTCCCATAGTAAATCAATTCTTCTCATTTCTTCAAACAAAATTGCTTCAAGCTTGTTGTGTATGAAACGATTTTCCAAATATATGTCTTTTACTGAAACTGAAATCTTGTTTTGAGATCAGTGAGGATGATCCACTGAGCTGTATAATAACTGGAGGACCTGCTCCTATACTTCGTTCAGTGAAGGAAGTGAAGCCAAAAACATGGCGGATTTTCAGGCAAAATGACGCCATTTCCATGACTACTGGTCCCTAAATTCATGGTAATTGCCACTGAACAAGGCTCAAATATGGGCCCGCCACATCCACCCCCCCCGGTTTTTAAAAAAAATATTTCAGCTTTTTGCTGCGAATTCTTGTTGTTTTGTTATTTTCGACATATTTTTTCGACGTTTGACCATTCGTTCAAGGATGTGAAAGTCGTACACGTTATTCCTGTCCGCGAAAGGCAACAAACAACTATTAAATATTTATTAGCAACAACTATTATTGTTATTGTTACCAACCCTTAATATTGTTACCCTAACACTATTATTAGCGCTGATGAAGATCCGGGCTTACCGCGGATAGAAAGCTTTGCAGTGATAAATTTATGTGGTCTTTCCACAAACAAAACTATTATATTTTATCGCCATGCAAACATACAAAGAATTTAATAGGTTAGCTAGATTTGTTGTGTTGTCACTACCGTTGTCGTCCGCTTCTCGAAGCACGGTCTATGCAGCACGAGCTCTATTATGGCTCTATACATACAGTTTCCGCTCAATTTTTTAGTAGTTACCTTTGGGCAAGTGTCGACCTCGTTAAAGGACATTGGCAATAAAAATTAGTTAATGTAATATTAAACTCTATTGCAAATTGCTCATATCTTGCTTAGTTTTCAAAATATTTCGACTGAAAAAAGTGAGCTGTTCGCCATCTTGGATTATTGAGGATATGCATGTACGTCAAAAGAGGGTTCATGCTAATTTTTTATCTTGAGAGTAAGCGATCACTTATAAGTCCAAAACTTTGTTTCAGGTTTGCTGTGTAAAATTTAGAAATGATTAAGAACATTTGAACAATGATTAAGAACATGGATTGTTACTCGGTCATTTTAGAGTAGATTTATTTGGTTAACCCAACTCCTGACGTCATCAAAACCATAGTTTCCCACCATTTCGGCACCAAAATCTCAATACCATGTCAAGCACAATTTCACGTGCACCTCCTCCCATCTCATCTACTGCATCTCATGCAGGGGGGCAGGGGGACCCCCCCCCCCAAGTTTTGCCAAGTGCCCTTTTTCCGTGAGCAAAGTGCCCTTTTCTTGCGTGAAAAATGTGTTAAGGATTGCCTTTTTTGCCCAAAGGGCACTTTTGAAAACTTCAATTTATGTTGTTTTCCGAAAAATGTTTTAATTTCCCGGAAAAATATGATATATCGGGAAAATTTTTTGGTATATCCGAAATTTTTTTTTATATTTAGGAAAAAATGTGATATATCCGGGAGAATGCTTTTGGTATGTCCGGAAAAAAAATTTTGAGACCTCCCCCGTCGCCAACTTTTCCGAGAAAAATTTTTCAATGCCCTTTTTTATTCGGAAAGTGCCCCACAAAGCCTGCCCCCCCCAACTTTTAGAAGCTTCCTACGCACCTGTATTGGAGAAACTCCAAGACATTTGAGGACGTACAAAGTTTGGTGAGCATCGACGTGCAGTCATTGGCGTGCAAAAATTTAAAAAAATGCCCCAGTAGTTATATAGTAGCTGAACAATGATTAAGAACATGGATTGTTTCTCGGTCATTTTAGAGTAGTTATATATGGTTAACACAACTCCTGACGTCATCAAAACCATAGTTTCTCTCCCGGCTTGCCAAAAGCAAAACCTGTGATTTTTATCGATTCTGCCACCACCATTTCGGCACCAAAATCTCAATACCATGTCAAGCACAATTTCACGTGCACCTCCTCCCATCTCATCTACTGCATCTCATGCAGTAGGTGTGGCATGCTTTATATTGGAGAAATTTCAAGACATTTGGGGACAAAATTTGGTGAGCATAGGCGTGCAATCATTTGAAATGATGCTATACAACCAGCCTGCTGCCAGCGTTCCATCCCCACCAACAAAAGCTTGTTGATATTTCTTTCACCGTCCCTATACTTTGAAATCTTGCGGCAAATTTTTTATACCATGAATATGCATGCGATTTTTACTCGACCACCGCGGAAATATAATGAACAAAAATATTTTACACTGCAGCAATTCCCAAGTGCTTTGCGGTCGTAACACATACCGCCTGCATTGCACCTAACAAAGTAACTGGCATCCTGCCAACCACAGAATCGATTAAATTCAGTTGTTACCAATGAGAATCAACTACAAAGTTGATCAGTTCTGATCATCGCTGCTGGTGTTCGTCATTAATTTACTGAGACCGGCTGTATAACAGCATATAAACGCCATAATTGAGTCAGAAAGCTGTTCGTCGTTTGTGCGAGTCGTCGAAATATCGAATTTGATTAGGCCTAGGGGAGAGAAGTCATAGACATTAACTCAACCCCGGAATAGTGCCACGTACACCTATCAGCATAACTGCTATTCCGTCCAACCTCAGGTTTTGTTTGTTGAAACGGTAAGAAATATATTTCATTTGTTACCTAATAATCAATACATGTCCAGACATTCAATCAAGATTGTTATTGTAGCTAAATAATAACAAAACACGGGATTGTAAATGATATCCATATAGCCAGAGTTTAACTGCAACTTGAAGCCAGTAGTTCATTTACAGATTTGCAGTGCGTGCATATGCGCGTGATATACCAATATTTACTGTCGCAAAGTGTAATTGGCCGCGACACTGGCACCAACTTAAATCATCCAGTTCCAGTTGATTATTAGCAGTTTAATCAACCACAGATTCGTCTGAAAGAATAATAAGCAATTCAGTTCATTTGCTGTGTAAATGTCCAAATGATTTGCTCAGTGTTTTAATGTGACAGTGTTTCTTCTTTGAAAGCGGATGATAAGCGACCAAAGGTTATGGTCGTTTGCATGCAAGCACTAGCCTCATATTTCAGAATCACTATTATGTTTATACTGTAGCTTATATTATATTTGCTTTCGATAGCAGTTTTGAAATAGCGTTATGTGTAGTCCGGTGGAGTATCAAAACAAAGCTCTTTCTCGTAATCTGTGGGTCTCCTTCAATCAATTCAGTTTCTTTTCAAAGGGAATGATACTTTGAGAAGACGGGTTTCCCTTTATACAGTCTATTTCAATTAACGTTGTCACAATAGAGCCATTTGTACGAGATAAAATAAGATGCGACTTATTGATGAGACGCGACTTAAATAAGACGCGAGTTTCTCGTATAAAAGGCACAAAATTCTTATGTAAGACGCGTCTTACATAAGAACAGGACTTTTAGCTGTTCTTACATTTATGTCGCGTCTTAAATAAGATATTTTAGACAAAAATCCTAACTACACATGCCCGAACTGACATGAAACATGCACGAGTCGTTCGAGCTGAACGGACGTACTTTTTTTAACTCACAGCTTTATTGCTTTATATAACTTTATATTACTATTAGCAATGTCTAAAAATGCAGATATTAAACGTTTAAAGGAACTTAGAGAATGAAGATTTGAAGAGTCAAATTGAAAAATTGGTGGAAAAAGTAGATAATTTAAGTCAAAATGTCTTGTCGACGAAAGAAGCGAGCAGTGCTAATGGCCGATCAGGCGAGCAAGAAGAACCTTTGTCGTCTGAGAAAAAGAAATCCGTTGAATTCCTCAGTAATCAGTATGATCAAGTCCTGAAGGAACTTGACCAGATAAAAGCTGAAATAAAAGAAGTATCGAAGAAGTATACAGAAATTTCAAATGCTATAGCGGCGATAGAAGACTATAGCTTCAATTACAATGTGAAAATAGTTGGTATGCCTGTAGTCAGCGAGCATGATGAAAGAGCTGACGAAACAGTTGAGATTTGCCTACGTCTATTTACAGCTCTAGGTGTAAAAGATATTTCTCCCTATGATATTGATATTGCCCACCGGGTACCAACGAGAAGAAATTTCCCGAACAAACCTAATCCAATCATTTGTAAATTTACCAGGCGAATTTCAAAGGAAAAGGTTATGGCTGCGCGAAAGAATGTATTTAAGATCTCTCCTAGTGATGTTGGCTTCCATGAACAGTTATCATTGGAAGGGCTACAACTTTATGACCACTTAAGTCCTCGGTTGCAAACTCTTTTGCGTGAAGCGAAGTTATTTAAAGAAGCAAATGGATATAAATTCTGTTGGGCGAAAAATGGTTTTATCTTTCTTCGAGAATCTGAAAGCTCGCGTGCCTATAAGTTGAAAAATCTGGTTGATCTGAGGGCAATGACAACTCGACGCTAAATGGAACTTCAAGTCACATACTGAGCTAAGTTAACATTATAATATAAATTGTGTGTGTGTGTTGTATTTCTTGAGAATTAGTTTTAGTAAAGTAGAAACGAAATGTTAGCTAAGCATAACCAAAGTCATGACTCAATGAACAGAGAGTTGTGTAAAGAACTACCCTTCTATAATTTTAAAGGAGATTTGGCCTCAATCTTCAAAGGTTTCTCTCAGTTGAAATCTAGGAGAGACCTTGAGAAATTGTCAGGCTTCCATGATTTAAATTTGTTTAATCTTAATACCATGCATGATAATAATTTAGACCTAAATAATTATATGTCATTTCAGCAATTACAAAGCCATTATTATTCTCCTCATAGTTTTAAATTAATGAAAAACAAAGCCGCATTGTCTAGTCAGCAAGAAAACTTATCTATTTTCCATAACAATATTAGAAGCTTAAATTTAAATTTTGAAAATTTACAAAGTCATATATTTGATGAGCTTGATTATCACTTCAATATTATAGGTCTTACCGAAACAAAGATCAGATCTAATAACTATGTTAATTGCCCGCAATTGCCAGGGTATGACTTCGAATTTGTACCAACTCCTTTGAGTTCTGGTGGAGTGGGAATGTATATTGATAAGTCATTAAGTTATGAAGTAATAGAAAAAAGTTCTAATGAAGCGTTTCAAGCATTATGGATAGAAATATCTTTTGTTCAAAAGAAAAATATTATTGTTGGAGTAATCTATAGACAGCATAATTCTCCGCATAAATTTAAAGAATATTTTGATGAGGTTATTGAAAAGTTTACAGCGACTGGAAAATCGTTATGTATTATGGGAGATTTTAATCTGGATTTATTAAAAATTGAAAGCTCTTGTTATAGCCGAGAATTCTTTTTATCTTTGCAAAGTTGTTACCTCATTCCCTCCATTGATAAGCCTACTCGGGTTTATAATAATTCTGCAACATTGATAGACAATATTTTCATAAATATGCCGGAACGAGTAACAATTAGTGGGAATATAATTTCTGATATAACTGATCATTTCTCTCAATTCTGTATTTTTAAATAAACTAAAGATAAAATAGAAATACCAATAAAGCAACAACGACGTGATTTTTCCCAATTTTCTGCTGTTAATTTTAACAATGAGTTGTCTCTCACAGATTGGGATGAAATATTCCTAAAAGGGGATAGGGATATTGATAAAACATTTTGCTTTATTTATAAAAGAATTAATTCGATACTGAATAAACACGCACCAATCAAACTGATATCGCGTCGTCAAGCTAAACGGCTCTCGAAACCTTGGATTACTAAAGGAATAAGAACAGCTATTAAACACAAAAATCAACTATATGCTGACGGAAAACAGTCTGAGTATAAAATATACAGAAATCGAATACAAAGATTAATACGATTAAGTAAAGCTAACTATTATTGTGAATATTTTAACAAACATTTGACGAATATGAAAAAAAACATGGGAAGCAATTAATACTATTATGAATCGTAAAACTCAGAAATCATCCTGCATTCAAGCTATCAAAGACCATAATAATGGTAATAGACTTATACGAAACGTAACCCATATCCCAGATATATTAAATAATCATTTTGCATCAGTTGGACATAAATTGGCTAACCAGTTACTAAACCCGCTAAAGCACTATTCCGACTTTCTTATAAAATCTAAATCTCCGCGAGATTTGTTTTGTTTTAATCTAATTACTCCTGTTGAAGTGAAACTTGAGATTTTAGCACTTCCAATCAACAAAGCACATGGTTTATATTCTTGTCCCTCTCAGATATTGAAATGTGCCAGCGATATTATTAGTTACGTATTGTGTAGATTATTTAATTTATCAATTGAGTTAGGAGTATATCCATCCAAATTAAAAATGTCAAAAACTATCTAATTTTATCGCTACTATCTAATTTTAATAGACTTTTTGAAAAGATGATGTATAAAAGGATGCAGAGCTTTATTCAAAAACATGCTATCCTTTCTTCTTGTCAGTATGGTTTTCGAGAATTGCATTCAACTGAACATGCAATTCTTGATATT